TATTATTTGAATCAAAATCAATTAGTATCTTTATTTTAATCTTATAGTCTTTTATATTATCTCAGTGCTTTTTATGAATGTATAAGATAAGTGCATTTTAAGCATATAATATCTTTTGTATTAACTTTATGAGAAGCTTTCCAAGGATATGAAATATATGTATGATATATTAATATAGAGCTATTAAAATATTTTTCAAAATATTATGCATGTTATAGAAAAAAAAATGTAATATTAAAAGTTTTGCTACGACTTATAAATGTATTATTATTAGAATTTAATTTGAAGTATTGTAATGATATAAATTAATTGAAACTGAATATTTAAATTGCATATGTAGTTTCTATCTTGCGAAAATTTCTATACCACACAGATTATATAAATTTAACTTCATCAATAGAACAATGCTGATCACATTCACTTGCCAATAAATATAAGAACTATCGTCGTTATTAGCACAGTAGTTATATATTACATACTGTCTATAGTTTAAATCGTGAAGCAAAGATATGTAAATATTCATCTGTCCGATCGCTTAAATTGCAACGCAAAATGTAAATTAATGGACCACGAAGGAAAGAATTTACCACATTAAAGGCGTAGAATGTAATTAAGTATCATGGGACAGACTCGAAAAATGTTGACAGTATATAGTCGGTCAGTATATAGTACATCTCTACATACACACAGAGACGCGCGTGTGTGTAAAATATATGTATCTCACGAGTACTATTGCGCCGCATGCTATACGCACAGCGTATGCACATTATACACGTAGATAGAAGGATATAATACACTTACACGCCGCAAATCAAATAACTGCACACAATCGTACACGGCACATAGAGAGACACCGAGATAATGTGACATCTATCTCAAAAATATCGTGTCCTTATATATTTTGTATATTGTCTGACCGAAAGAAATTTAGAGTAGCATGAAAAAGGTTAAATTTTATCAACTCCAAGAAAAATAATGATTGTTTAATATAGTTTTGACTGATAAATCTGAGCAAAAAGATTGTTGGTACCTGTTATGCGAAAACGAACAGTACCCTCATACCAATGCCGAGCTATCCAAATGAAAATATCGGGTATCCGACTTATTTTAATATTCTCATTACCTCCGATACAAATTTGATCATACTAGCTTTGTGATGCACTGACAAACAGCACACATAATCCTTTAATCTGCCGGTACTCACATTTGTGCTGCAGAAAATCTCCCGACTACACCCAAATAACCACCATTTTTTTTTACTGGTTGCTACGCTCTCTTGCGGTATTATGTGCAATACAATTGTCGTATTTAAGTCGCGTTTCGAAAGTAAATACACAACCTCCAAATATATATTTTTTCTTTGTAGTTTGATGAACTTTCTTACAAAATTTTGAAAATGATCTCTCAAATTAATAAAATCGTTAAAAAATTATAAAATCGAAATTATCAAGTACTTACTATATGAGATACTTCTTCACGTGTGAACATCAACTGTAGCAATAATCAACTGCATAATAAGTAAACATGTTCCATCCAGCTGTAAGCATGCAATTACCACCACCACGAAACTGCACAGTTCTAGATTCATTCCAATTTTACCAATTACAAGCTGAATTAGAAAAAAAAACTATTAAAATTAAGTAACTACAAATAAAATTTGTCCAATTGGTCATATATATTAAGTAATTATGATTGGAATCAGGTTATTGGTTTTCGGGCAATTATCCTAGTTAGTTTTGAAATGTAACCAGTACAGTTTAGGAATATAAAAAAAAGGAAAACTGTCCTGGTTTTAAAGTTGAGAAAATAGTTATTTAAAATGTGACTAAGTTTCTATCTAGTCTAGTGTTCAATGTGTCCAATAATGTCCAATAAGACCTAGACTAGTGTCCAATCGGTGTACATAGTTGCGATAAAATTTTAAATAATCAAAAGTTTTCTCCGAGAAGATTTGAGTATAAAAATTGATAAAATTAAATATCTTGAGGATAAAAATATGTTAGAATGTTCATAATTGGAAAGAGCTGGCAATATGAAAATAAAATATTACGAAAATATATATATATAAGTATTAATAGTATCCATAATTATCAACAAAGTATATTATAAGGAAATTATACAAAATTATTTGATTCATGCATTTATGGAATTTAAAAATGAATATGATAAATTTGAGATATGATATATTACCATTTTAATCACAGTTAAATTAGGTTAGCAATAAAACTTACCCTCGTAAAGATATATAATTTAACGATTCTTTTCTAAATTGATTTGTAATAGGCTTTACAAAAAAATGCAGGTTTTCATTTAAAAGTGAGCGAAAGTATCACAAATGTTTTATATTCGTATCATTTCATAAAATGTTCCTAAATTAATTAGAGCTTGACCAATTGACGTTTTGATCATCTAGAGAAATAATACGAAAGTTAAGATTATTAGTAATCTCTTTACACACATTTAATAAGTTGATGTATGATTTTCAAGGTAATTTACAATGTCATTAGATAGGATGTATTTTTTTTAATGAGGATTTAAATTAAAATTCGATTAAGATCGAACGAAATACAAATAAAGATGATACAAAATGTCAATTAGTCGATCAGATTTAGATTAAAATAAAAGCCAATTGCATAAATATTATTTTGTGGAATTGTGAAAAACACTATAAGACTTGAACGCAAATGCGTGTGCTGTTTTCCCGCGTATAAACGTAAAGTATCCAGCATTGTGTACTGGTAAGTGAATGTTCCTACGTTGAGCTACGACGAGTATGTTCATATGGTAGTTCGTGGCTTGATGTTATGTAGGGTACTGTCATGAGAAAAATTTGAAGCAAAAGTTGTGTTTTGTGTTCAAAGTCGGTGATAAATCGTAAGGAAAATGACTCAAACGGTGACAGCTGATTTGTAGGGATTAATGAAATTGAAGAAACGAAAAAGTCTGTGCGCGCAGTGCGTGAATATGCCCGCCAAGGTCTCAAAGAAGGTCGTAGGCATGATCATACGAAGCCGAAAGTCCATCATGAAGGATGGAGTCATTACGGTACTGAAAGTTTCATTGAATTACATTTTAACCCACACAGGTGTCCAAAGTACCTGATAATCCCCCTATCTTTTATATTAAATCTTCTTCTGGAATGTTATAAAATCAGGATGAGCGCACAGGAGTTTATGCGGAAGTCCATGTTTACTTTGTGATTACAGTTTATAATTATTATATAGAATATTTTCTTTTTTTAAAATATATTTTAATTATTCCTATTGTAATGCTATTCTTTTATTTGTTAAAGGATAAGAAAAACATATAGTATTTATTAATACACTATTTATGAAGATTATATTTCCCCTATTTGGCCCATCTTTTTCTTTTACCTAGTAACAGAGAGTTATTATTTTGCTCTTGATTGCGCTATATCGTTTGACATAGATATATATAGAATATTTCTTAATTGATATTGTAATGGTATAAAAATATTGGAACATTATCATATCTTTAAAGACTTATTCTTTTTTCATTTGTATTGTGTGTCTCTGCAGTGCTCTTTTCTTTTATTTATAAGATAAGAATGGTACAGTAAAGACCATTAGTAAACAAAACTATAATATGTTATATTTCTTTTTTAATCCTGTTATAGCATCTGGTCTTTTACTAGTTTTAGATTTTGTTTTCCTCGAAGCTTTTATCTAAAATGTTATTAATTTAGATATTTTTTTCTTAATTTAACATATAAAAGAATATTTCATTAACATTTACAAGTGATATTCATACAATTAGAAAACATAAAATAAACTCGATAACAATTACAATATGGTAATAAAAAATATTAAAGTGATAAGACAAATTTCTCGAAACGCATATGTTTATGTTATATAAAATATAATCTCGTTTTTATTAAACAATAAACCATATAATTAACATTATAATATAATATAAAAAGAAAATATTTAAAGTGTGATGCAAGCAAGAACAAAAAAGAGAAAGAGGAAAAAAATAAAAGAATTAACCTAAGTTATGAAAATGAATCAAGTTTAAACTAAATAAGAAAAAAGACGATAAAAAAAATAAATGTTTATCGTTAATGTAAAATATTATAAATAGTTGTCACCATTCGACAGTATTAAATCGATCGTACTAAAGCTTTCTGTGTAATAAAGTTTCCGTGTATATTGATCGGTGACAACTAATCGCCACGTACATACGTACGCAGGTACGATATTTAACGAGTGTTTATCAAAAAATGTGACACAGTCATCGTAAATTTCTATGATTAACGGAAAATATCTCAATTTCGTCTGAAGTGTAATAGTTTGGTGCGTAATCTAAATCAGCAATTGAATACTATGAAGTGGTTATGGGATCCTTCTGAAGTTATATCGAATCGAAAGTATTACGATGAATAGAGTATAGAATGGTACAGGAGTAGTAGAGTGGGGGTCAGTGGGAGAGAGTTGCAATGCAGTGGTTTGTGTTATCGCGAAAATGTACGTTTAATCGTAATCAAAGTAAAGAAGGTTTGTTCAATCTCAAGCCGAGAAAATTTCTTTCGAAGCATGTGATCGTATGTAATTTAGTCGAAATTAAATCGATTAATGTACGCGAGTTTGAAAGACGTTAGAGAACGAAATGGAATATGCCTCCATCCGACGTAGAAATTGGTCTTCGATATGCATGTTGCGTTTTCTTAAAAGATACGTCAACCGGTGAATATTTTCGACATTCTCGGAATATCAGATTTTCTTAGAACGGTTATCGCGTAACTCTATATCGGACATTAATTGTCTCGATTACGGAACCGCATGACGTCACACCTCGACCGTGAGTTCCGAAGTCAAGGCTGCAGAGGTTCATCTGTCAAAAGACATTTGAACATTTCAAAGAATTTCATCTCATCAATTTGGAAATTAGATCTCTGAATTTACTTATATTTACTGACGTATCACCTTATTATATATATTATATGTATTATATAGAAGAATAAACAAGATACTAATTGGGAAAGAAATTTGTTAAATGAAAGAAGAGGCAAATAATCGAAAGAATAATTATTAGCCGGCTTTTTAAAATTTTTATCTGCAAGCTATGTGCTACTATTGTCTAAGAAGCATCTTTCGTACTTATATAAAAGTTTATTCATTATTAAGTATGGTTATTATATGCGAAGCAGCAGAAAGTATTATCAGAATGCATACAAGTAGATGATTTATTGTTCCAATTTGAGGGATCATTAAAAAGGATTCAAAATTACAATAAAAAGCTTTCGCTAAGGCATTAAGATAAATGAGTTGATATGTGCGTTGCACTGCCAATCAAGTAATTTTTGATGCTTCTAAAGCGATCACACAAATAAATTCTGGCATTCATAAATAAGTGAAAAAGCTAAAGATAACTATCCTTTTACATGTAACCTTATGTATCGTTTCTGGAAACAATTAGCATTCTTCATGATACAATGAAGTGATGTTCCTTTTTAAAGGTTGTACAAAAAACTTGCAAAGAATACTTATTTGCACTTATAATGCTTGTGATATATATTAAAAAATTAGATCTAAGATAACTCTATTGATAATAAAATTCTTAAATGTAACATAAATACATAAAGTATGAAACGAATTAGCACAAAGAATATGGTGCTCTACTTAACCTGCTATATAAAGCAAACATAATAAAAGAAAAATAAACTATATATGTTCCGAACACTTGGTCTAAGAAGACTGTGAAAATTGACCACACAAATTGCTTAAGAAAAGTGCTTGCATGTATATAAATGTACTTATTAATAGGTATAACAGATGTCGTATTGTTCAACGTAATTTATACTCAAGGATTATGCAATGAGATTATATTTATAATATGATCTTAATAAGTAAAAGTGTGATTAAACAAAAAAATCTAAAAACTACATAGACAAAAAAATTTTTAAGATTTTAGTCAACAAAGTGTTGAGCACATAATTTTTTCAATATAAGTCACAAATTTATGAGATGCAAACAAATATTTATATTATATGGATTTTAACAAAAGATAAAATGAAACATTAGTAAATAATTAAGTATGAAACAAAATACGTATAGTAACAATTCTTAGGGGTCATGCCCCCTGGGGCAAAAGGGGGAGCAGAGGGCTTGGGCCCTTCCTGTTCTGAAATTCACAATACTCAAGAACACGCTATTGCAAAATTTACACCTCCCTTTACATTTGCCCAACAATGCTACAGGCACCTTAAGGTTTCATTTGCTATTTATAATTCCATTATCTGTAATTCTATAGCTAATAATAAATTATTGTTATTTAATAACATTTTATATTTTTTTATTTCACAGAGTTCTGGGGTAGGAGAGGCAAGCGTATATCATGCATTGGTTGTAATATTTTTGGAATTTTTTGCATGGGGTTTATTAACCATGCCTATAATTTCTGTATTAAATGAAACATTTCCGGATCATACGTTCCTCATGAATGGTTTAATAATGGGCATCAAAGGGATTTTATCTTTCCTTTCGGCGCCATTAATTGGTGCTTTATCAGATGTGTGGGGTCGAAAATTTTTCTTACTTATCACAGTGGCCTTCACTTGTGCACCAATTCCACTAATGAGTATAAACACATGGTGGTTTTTTGCTATGATTTCAATAAGTGGCGTTTTTGCTTGCACTTTTTCTGTAGTATTCGCATATGTTGCCGATGTTACAGAAGAAAATCAAAGATCATTGGCATATGGTTTAGTAAGTTATATTTTTTATATTATATTTTTCTACACAAGAATTTAGAATATCTTCTAAACTAATGTTATTTTATTAGGTTTCTGCAACTTTTGCTGCTAGCATGGTAATCAGTCCAGCTTTAGGAGCTTATACCATGACAAAATATGGAGAAAATTTAGCAGTTGCGTTAGCAACAGCAATTGCAGTCTTAGATGTTTTTTTCATATTAGTAGCTGTACCTGAAAGTTTACCTGAAAAAGCAAGACCACCAGCACCCATATCATGGGAGCAAGCTGATCCTTTTGCAGCCCTAGGAAAGGTAAATGTTACAGAAATAGAAGAATATTAGAATTTCTATAATATTTTGTTACTATTGAGATCCTGTGGAATGAAATTAATGATTCAAAGAATAGATATTTTTTTATTTAACTTTTAATTCAATATTTCTTATGCACACGAAAAACACACCAAAACGAAAATTCTATTTAACAGGAATTATTATTTTTTATCACCATGAAATTTTCATATATACATAATTTGTCTTTGTGATAAAATAACAACAAAAAACATAAAATATAAATAAGCTCTTCATTTTTCTTGAAGTAAAAGGAATCAGATAAAGAATAATCGAAGGAATAATAATTATTATTATTAATTGGCATTAGGAACTCGAAAGTTCATTGTCGCAAATACCAAATCCCGCCATTGTTCCCGTCCCTAAGCGCGATCCTTCCATTCGCGGTCTTCGTATTCTATTTCTTTCAGGTCCCTTCTAATATTATCCTCGCATCTACGTCTCGGTCTACCTAGTGGTCTTTTCCCGTTTGGTATACCGACCAATATTTTGTGTGCCGTTCGATCCTCTCCCATGCGCGCCACGTAACCAGCCCATCTTAATTGGCGTGATTTTACGTCCGGTTTGTTGTACAATCGATGTACTTCAACGTGGAATGAAGTTTTCTCCATTCGCCCGTTTCCTCATCGCGTTTTGCACCGAAGATTTTACGAAGAACTTTGTTTTCGAAAACCCTGAATTTCTTTAAGTCCCGTAACGTAAGGGACCACGACTTGCTACCATAAAAGACTACCGGCATGATGATTATCTTGTATATCCTGATTTTTAATCGCCTAGACAGCAACCGCGAGCTGAGTAATTTGTTAACCGAATAAAAACATGAATTGCCTAGATTGATTCTTTTCTTAAGTTCTGCAGAAAGTTCTTCTCACTTTACCCCTACTTTCCTTTAGGCAAAGTTGAACAAGGTTGACCAATTTTCTTGGTATCCCCTGTCGTATTAGGATTTCGAGCATTTTTATCGTTTTACGGAGTCGTACGCTTTTTGAAAATCTATATAAAGTTGATGTACCGGCTGATTAAATTCCCATTTTTTCTCTAAGATCTGCCGAATAGCAAAAATTTGGTCTGTAGTCGATCTATAGTGATCTATTATCTCGTCCGCATACGGTACTATCCTAGCTAGTAGGATGTTTGATAGTATTTTGTAACACGTCGGTAAAAGTGAAATACCCCGTATTATTACAATCCATTTTGTCTCCCTTTTTAAAGATTGGGATTATAATCGACTCTTTCCATTGTTCCGGCAATGTTTCCTTGTTCCATATTAATTTAATTAGCTCAAAAATTTCTTCGATCAATCTATTTCCCTCCCATTTTATTAGCTCCGCAAGAACCGAGTCGTTACCCGGTGATTTATGATTTTTTAGTTTTTTAATTGCGTTTTTTATGTCTAACATCGTTGGTTCACTAACCATAGGTTCCGCCGTATGGAACTCGAAATTCTCAGTTTCCCGGTCGTTCTCAGATTCTATATTTAATAATCGATTAAAATAATTTTTCCACGTGTTCCGTCTCCACGGCCGCGTATTTTATTCCGTTTTCTCCCTCGATAATCTTTTCTACGTTTATCCGTTTATTTCCTATCCGCTGTCCATTGGTCTTATTTACGGAAAGCCGTTCCCTCATCCTAGCTATAACCAAAAAATGATCCGAATCACAATCTGCCCCCCTGTACGACCTAACATCTAGTAAGTTCGTGTGTCGTCGTTTATCTGCCAGAACGTGATCTATTTGATTACGCGTATTTCCGTCCGGGGAAATCCAAGTTTGTTTATGGATATCTTTGTGTTTAAAAAACGTGCTTTTAACGATGCGAAGGAATAATTACATTTATAATAATGATTATTTTTTATTATATCAGGTTGGAAAAGATCATACAATTTTGATGCTGTGCGTCACCGTGTTCCTGAGTTATCTTCCTGAGGCAGGTCAATATAGCTGTATTTTTGTCTACTTAAAATTGGCTATGGGGTTTTCTGCTGCTATGGTAGCATGGTTTATTGCTGTCGTTGGAATATTAAGTGTAGGGGCTCAAATAATATTAGGACCTTTAATGAGAACTCTTGGTAGTAAACACACTATAATGTTGGGTCTCTTATTTGAGATGTTACAACTCATGTGGTATGGCTTCGGTTCACAAACATGGTAATGTCACTTTTATGATTATATTTTTAATTAATTACATTTTTTGTAACCACATATTATGTTATGTGAGTTACTTTTTAAGGTATTAAATATAAATTATCATATAAATTGATCGTAATTTCAAGGATGATGTGGGCAGCAGGAGCTCTAGCATCTGTATCAAGTATCACATATCCTGCAATTTCTGCATTTGTATCCATGCATTCGGATGCTGATAAGCAGGGTTTGGTACAAGGAATGGTGACTGGAATGCGTGGTCTCTGTAATGGTCTGGGACCTGCAATGTTTGGTGTAATCTTCTATCTTTTCCATGTTGATCTCAATGATGACTCACCCTCTCTTCCTTTGAAACCATCTCTTTTGGATGAGAATAATAGAACAGGAACTGCCACACAACATCTTGATATTATGCCACAGGTATTAATGAATAAGTTAGAAAGTATTGATATGCCATATAATAATTATGATAAAATATTTATTGGAAAGAAACCAAAAATATATATTTTTCAGCTTGTACCAGGTCCACCATTTGTGTTTGGCGCATTACTAGTGATTTGTGCATTACTGGTTGCTGCATTCATCCCTGAAACTACCACAATGGCAACTGGAGCATTACATCATCCATCCACCTCCCGGAGGCCCTCCGGTAAATACGCATATCAGAAATGTACGTTACAGGTTGCCACATACACTAAAAGACAAATGTGTTTGGTGGTGGGTTTATTTTGAAGTTCTAACCTCAGGAATTTATGTTGAAAGTAACATATTTGCCGATATTATTAACTATGATAATATTTAATTAATGTATATATTTTTTATTCGGCAATGAACTTTCGAGTTCCTAATGCTAATTAATAATAATTTTTTATTACTTTAGAATAATTACTTCAGAATAATTACTTCAAAATATGCAACATATATGAATGAGTGTAGATGTGTATATATAGATATATATACATATATAAATATATATTAGGGTGGGTCAAAAAAATGACTTTTTTTTTTTTCAAATGCCACGGAAAAATGGGTTGCTAGACACCTTAAAACAATTCTCACCAAATATGAGCTCTTAATTTTAATAGGAAGATCCTCCGCATCGCAGTTTT